GAGCTCATTGACAAAATTTGTGCTAGAATAGCACTGAGGTCAGAGCCCTATTGTGCTGGGCGCTGCATATATACAGAGCCCCAAAGAGCTTCTAGCCTATATATAGGCACAACAAAGGAAGGGAAGGTAAATTTGAGGAGATATAATTTATCCAATATCCAGCAGCAGATCAGTAACTTAATCCTTTCAGTTCTAGCCCAGTGCCCCCCACCAGGCTACAATGCCTGGTTTCATGGGTATATGAAAGCTCACCCTTCATGTACCTACATGAAAACTCCACCCCAGGGAAGGTTGCCCTTTCAGGATGGGACCTCGACACACCCTGCTCCAGCTCCACTCCTTGCCTTTGCTCTGGAGCGTTCCCTTGGCTCTTAAACTATGGCTCCCACCTGCCCCTGGTGCCTAATTTTTCTCTCTATAAGGATGAAGAACACAGGTCACAGAAGGTACCTCCCTTTGTCCCCTCTCTATGGTGAAAGCATCAAAATGTTCTGCAGGTACTGAGGAGATCTTAGCTCTGCTGGGCCTTCAGAGCCACTGCAATTCAGTCCACGTGCCCTTAACTGTGGACAGCATGCTCTGGGAGGCCCCATAAAGTGTGAAAGGCTCAAGGCTTTGGGAGGAGCTTTTGGGGTGAGGCATGGACTTTCACAGCCAAATTTTTCTCAGCTTCTCTGACCCCACCATGTCAGAACATAATCCTTGTCTGCACTACCAACCCTATCCCTACGCAGGGACACATACAGGCAGGTGTAATCATGCTGCAGCATGGTCTATTGTGTAGGGCATGTGCAGTGAGTACACTGGCATGTCATCTCACCAACTGCTTGGTGCAGGCTTTGGCAAAGCCCCTGTTTTCAAGTGGCTCCAGAGCCCAAGGGATGAGTGCTGCAACTACTTCTCCCTCCCTCTCCCCTGCTGCTGAATTTAGTGAAGAGGGTGAACAGAGGCCACACTCACCCCTGGACCCCAGAGCTGTGTGAAAGCAGAGACTCTGCCCAGGACCTGCACCGATCAGCTGCTGAGCTTAGAAAGCTGACAGCAGATGTGAGGCTCCAGCAGGAGGTGTGCTGACATGCTGGGGCACTCTGAGATCACTGCACACGCAGCCGAAGGGGGTGTGGCTGCACTAGCCTTGCCAAGATCCTGCACCTAGGCATGTCCCTCTCTGAGGGAAAGGGGCAGAGCTATAGCACACTCCTTCAGTGCTCCAAGCAGGGCAGGGGTGGTGTGTGTGTCAGCCATAGTAGATCAAGTTGCAGGGTGTGTGAGGGGAAGGGAAGCACAAGGGTACCCTCATAGTTGCTGCCCATGACTGGTTATGCTACTAGGAAGGGGCGGGCAAAATAAGCCCAGGGACCGCATCTAGCCCATGGCATGATTTTATCCAGCCCATGGCGGGTTCCTCAGCCCCAGTTGGTCCAGGCACAGGGGATATCCTGGGCTGTGGCATTTGTGGCTGGTCCCACTGCACCTGGGCACATAGGTGCTACCTAGCGTGGCCCATCCCGTCCCTGCATGCAGCTCTTGGGCATGCCAGGAGCTGTAGTCTGCAGGGCTGGGTGGTGGGGTGGGGGTGGCACAGAGGCCAGAGTTGGCTTCCTAGCAGCCCCCACCACCTGGGAGCAGGTGTGTGCCCACCGCTATTGGACCCCAGCCCTGCAGTGTTGCCCCACGTCCACTGCCAGGAGTCCTGGATGGAGTAGGTGGGTGGGGTCTCCCTGGAGACTGGCCAGGTACCTCCGCAGGCAGGGTGCACTTGGCTGGGAGGATGGGATGGGGCCGCAGGCAGGAAGTAGCATCTGGGAGCGGGATGGGCTGGGCTGGGCTGGAGCCACAATCGCAGGGCAGTGACAATGTGGGGCCAGGGTCCATCGCAGGGATGTGTAGGGAGTGGATTGTGGCTCGGCCTGGGCCCCAGTCCTGTACTATCACCACCCCACAGTCCCAGCCCTGCCTACCTTTCCTGCTCCTGGATGCCGCTCCCCACCCACTGCCACATCCCATCCCATCCACCTGGCTGAGCAAGCCCTGCCCATGGGGGTCCTGGGCTGGTCTCCATGGAGACTTCACGCACCTGCCCACTCCATCCAGTGCCCTCAGTGGTGGGTGTGGGGTGGACAGGCCCAAATCCAGATAGGATAAACTGGCATCTCTGTAGGCCAAGCCCCCTCCCCACCACTGCACCAGGTGGTATAAACAGCTGTGACAGGGGGCCGAGGCTGGGTCAGCGACCCAACCCCCAAGCCCTCAAAAGCTTACCAAAACTCCATACGTGACCCTCCACCCCAATTGCCCATCCCTATCCTAGAGCGTCAGGCACAGCACAGGTATACAGTCCTCACCCTGAGCAGCCATGTCTTTCAAAGAAAGGCTAGGAGGTGGACCTGAGGCATTGAAACTTTCAGCAGTACTAAGTGGAGATTGGAGACCAGGAGCTAAATCCTATTTCAGTGTTCATACTGGAATGGCATATACATAGGTGTGTGACTGCTGTGTTTGGCACTTCCACTTAGTTTCTGGTTCAGCATTGTTTGTGGGGCTGTGCTCCAGCTGGTTAGATAAGCAAAGAAGTAGAGTTGCTACAGTATGTGTATAAGGGCCTACAGACCAAGCCCTACGAGGAGAGACTAGAGAAACTGGACCTTTTCAGGCCCCGTCTCTTTCTTTTATTAAAGAAGACCTATAAGTTCATTATGGGGGCACAGAAGGGAATTGGTGAGTATTTATTCACCAAGGCGCCCCCGGGGGTTACAAGAAATAATGGCCACAAGCTAGCAGAGAGCAGATTTAGACTGGACATTAGGAAGAACTTCTTCACAGTTAGAGTGGCCAAGGTCTGGAACGGGCTCCCAAGGGAGGTGGTACTCTCCTCTACCCTGGGGGTCTTCAAGAGGAGGTTAGATGAGTATCTAGATGGGGTCATCTAGACCCAGCGCTCTTTCCTGCTTATGCAGGGGGTCGGACTCGATGATCTATTGAGGTCCCTTCCGACCCTAACATCTATGAATCTATGAATCTATAAGGCTAGGCAAGTCCTGACATTTGGCTAGCAAAGATTGTATTTTTAATAACCACTGCATAAAAGCAATAGAGAGTTCAGCTTAGAAGTTTCAGCCCCACTGGAAATATGGGTCAAAGGTAGAAAAGGTGGGGTGCGGGGTGGCACAGCGGCCAGACTTGGCTTCCCAGCAGCCCCCACCACCTGGGATTTAGCTCCATGGGTTCTGAGTCTGAGCCCCATGTCTTCCCCACTGAGGCACACTGTTCCTGCTAGACCCATCCTCTTTGCTGCACTCCTTTTTGGTTCACTAGTACCCTTGCTTTATTGCCTGAAAAACCCTCTTTCTTGGTGGTACACCCCCAAACTATTCACACTGCCCCAACCCCAGGCTGCCATTACCAGCTTTGGCAAAAAAGGATGACTCAGACCAGTGAATATGGCTACTGTTGCACTGCTCTCCCAATGCCCAGATGCTTGCTGCTACTGGATGCCAAGTATGTGTGTGTCAGGGACTCTAGACTACTTCAGGCCCCAAACCCAGCCCCAGTTTGGGTTTGTCTCGGAGATAACACAGGGTAACATGGGACACGCTGTGCACTGGCCTTCAACCCTCTTCTGTACGCAGCTAGCTGGGAAAACCCTGGATCATCTGGCCTAGCAGTGCACAGTCATTAGCTTCCTCCCTGGGCAGCAACATTCAGCCTTGGGTGTAGAAATCATCTAAGCCAGTCTGCAATGTTTGTTAACCTTTTCTTGGTAGATGGTGGTGAGTGCTGGGCCTGGAACGGGGAAGGTATACAGCTGTATTCTCTCCCCAGGCTTACTGTGGAGAAGACTATGCCTCTTTGGCCCTGTGCCCCCTTGACCTATGGTGCACAGTATCTGACACTTCTTGGCCTGAGGACCTCATCCTATCAATACGAGCTGACATTCACTGGTTAGCTGGCCTTTGAGCCTCTTAACCCACAGTTGTAACTGCATGCTTTCATGTTAGAGGAATACTCCTTTAAGAGGAGATGGTCATTGCCCTGGATATGCAAAGAGATTGGGGGGAGGGTGCAGGGTGCTGGGCAGGCAGGATCACTGCTGTCTTGTGGAGGGGTCAGGGGCAGAGGTGTCACTCAGAGGGTGCTGACCCAGTGCTCACGAGTGCTGCAGGCTGGGTTGCCTCCTGCATGGCGGGGTGAGGGTGGGGGCAGGGACTGCTTCCAAGCAGCCTGGCGTAACTCTTGTATAATCAAACTTGTGTGAGGCATCCTGTTGGGTCTGATCCCTCCCTGGAGCTGTCTCTGCCTGCTCTCAGCAGTGTGCAGTCACTAGATCCGCAAGCAGCTGGTGTTGGCTGAAGCAGCTAAAACATGACTATCACTGCTCCCTGCAGACTCAATATCCAGCCACTCCCAGTGCCTACCTCACCCTGTACACCTGCTGGAAGCTGAGACAACATGCTAGCCACTTGCCACTGTGTGTGCTCTGCCCATCTGGCCTGGTGCTCTCATGGCCTGGGGTCTGTTTAGGCAACAGAAGCTCAGAAGTTCAGCTTTAATGGTTGCTCTTTCAAACCTGCTGTCATCTGGAAGGCCAGCCCTGTTGATGTACATATTTCTGAGCGCAAATCCAAATTCTAGAGGAGCTGCCTCAGTCCAAGGTGAGAATGATTCATATGCTAGAGACAGGTGTGCTCTCCAACCCAAACTCTGCAAGTAGCCTCATCAGACATGCCCTTGAGTAAGGCTTAATTCACTGAAAATCCCAATACCTTCCCCTTGGATGCTTGACAGTCAGCCAGCTGGGAACTGATGTAGACTGAAGAACATAATCTCCTATTCCCATCTACTGAGGCACTGTCTGAACTATGAGCCTCAAAAGGACTATGTGAGTTGCTAGGTCAGGAAGGATATTGGCCCTCAAAATAGAGCTGGGAAAGGAGGCAGGGTCTTAGATGAAATTGAAGTTTAGGGGATAAAGCACATTGAAAAACAAGATTGCTGCTAACCTGTGAAAGGAACTATAGAGGAAACTGCTATTCCAGGCCTGTCAGAGATGCAGCTGCTTTCCCCGAGTATCTTGCATCAGGCTAGGAGCTGTGGGGTGGTGCTAATTCCTGCCAGAGGGAAAGAAATTATGAGGAGGTGCTGGTATCCCAGCCAGTGCAAGAGGGGTACTGATATGCAGGCCAAGGGAGGGGAGCTCTGGGGAACATGGTGTCTCAGCCAGGGGAGAATGGAGCTCAGGGATGCGGCTTTCTGTAACCAGGCAGAGGAGAACTGTGCAAGTTCTGCAACCCCCAAGGCTGGGAGGGGGCGATGTGGGGTGCAGTTATCCCCCCATGAGGGGGTAGTGAGACTGGAGGGGGTATCCTATTCCATGCTGAGGTAGGGTGACTATATGTACCAGTTTGGCCAAGACAGTCCTGGATTTTGTAGGCCAGCCCCAGCCAGTTGATGAAAAGTTGCGGAAGTAGGGGCAGAGGCAGGTGGGGCAGGGGCATGGAACACAGTTCAGTGGAGAGGCAGAGTGGCACGTTACACCAGACATTCAGGAGAGTAGTCAGCACTGCCGCTTGCACGGAAGCAAGTTGGGCTGACTGCAGTAGTGCCCAGCCCAGCCCAACCCACCTCCCACTGCCAGGAGGAACTGGGCCAGGCACACACCATACTGCTCTGCCTTCCTGCCGCACTGCATCCCATGCCCCTGCCTGCCTGCCTCTGCCTCTTTCTGCAGCAGCTCCCACTGACCTGGGGGGTGGGCAGTGTCCCAGATTTCCTTAAAAATATTATGGGCACCCTATGTTGAGGGGATGTGGAACTGAGAGCCTACTGATAGTCCACAGTAGGTCAGGGGGAAGCTGTGGGGCCCATTGCTATCCCAGCTGGAGTGAAAGGGAGCTATATGGGGTGCTTTACCTCTTGTAGGAAGAAGGGGAAAACAGTGGAGGGTCCTGCTAACCCATCTTTGATGGGATGTCTCTACCCTGGCCCAGGTGGAAAAGGTCCGTGGAGATAATACCTTCTCACAGTAAGCAGGAGGGCTTTCCATGTGTTCTGCACTTGGGTTGTTCCTGCAGTGTCACACTAGCTCCATCCTCTGATCTCACAGACTTCAGCTCCATCAGTGACTCGGCTCTGGGGTCTGATAGTCCTTCTATATAGTCCTGTATAAGAGGTGAATAGATGACATGATCTGTTAGTCCCTTCCTTCCAGCTGCCACACCATCCTGTCCTAGACACCTGTGGCACAGGTGTGCTGAGTTCTCTCCATCTTTTGCTGCCTTCTAGTGAGGCTCTGTGATACAATATAACTCTGCTATCTACAACATGTTACCTACAACTAAGAAGCCAGACCACACAGTGGCATGGGGTCTAAATTTGTACAACATAACATCATCCCCAGGAGACTTACCATCTGCAGCCCCCTGGCTTACATGCATAACTCCAACTAGTACTCCATGTTGTGATATGACCAGATAAGGATGTATATACACAAAATAACCTATATAAAAATGGTAAAATATACACTTATAATACTAGAAATATGCACTTTAAAGTTATGCTAGCTTCAACATTTACAGAAAAGGAGAAAGGTAATAACAAATGTAAAAGCTTTCATGTTGGTAATCATCAATGTAGCAAGTAAATATTTTGTCTAAAACTAAGTTGTGTACATTTAAGTATATGCCTATATTATGCCCTTTTACTATCATGAACAAAAATATGACACAAAATAGGTAACTAGTAATGTTATATAAGAACATAAGAATTGCCATTTATTGGGTCAGGCCATAGGTCCCTCTTACCCAGTCACCTGTGGGCACCACGGGGTGCCACCACTTCCCCCTGGATGCTGCTGGTGCCGGGCAGGGAGTCATGCTGAGCTGCTGGGGCTGCTGCTGCCTCGCTCCCCGGGGAAAGTTCCTGCTTGCTCCTCACATGGCCAGCCCCTGCCTACTCCACCTGGGCTGGCCATGGACCGCTGCTGCCCCTGCTGCTGGTGCTGACTCTGCCTCCCTACCCTCTTCCCTCTGGGAGGAGGTTATCCCCTTCACACACCTGTTCCTAATCAAGCTCCTGCTTCCTGCCCCTGCTGCTGAGCTGCCAGACATTGAGCAGCCCAGGGGGACCCTGCAGCACCAGTGGGGCCCCTCCAATGCTACCACTGATGCCAACCCAGCTGCAGCACCCAGCCCTGCTGTGAGTTCAGGAGAACCTGTGCCTCAGCCTCTGATGGGCTCCCAGGGCAAGGGGGAGCAGGCAGAAGAGGGGAGGGAATGGGGCACTCCCACCCCCTCCTCTGCAACCATCCCACACCTCCTTCTACCTCCTCCTTCCAGAGCTGACCACCTAAGGACCACCCCATGGCTGGGTGGATGCTGGTCCCATTCAAGTGGCACATGGCTGCCAAGGCCAAAAGGTGCAGCTCTAAGGTGGAAGAAGCCCCCTTCAAGACCACAAAGAGGGGGACAGAGTTAAGAAGATTCTGGTAACCTCTGAGCTGCACCAGACACCCCACCTCTGGGGAAGATCAAAAGGGTTGCCCCCATGGAGGAGGCTCTGGGACAGCCAGGCAGTCCTGGAGAGGAGCCCATGGAGGATACCCTCCCACACTGATGACCATGACACAGTGAGCACCGAGGCAGAGGCCAACCTGGGGACAGGTCCAATGACAGAGCCCTCCCGCTCTGAGTACCTTGGGGAGGTGGGAGCCTGGGTCTCACCCCAGTGAGCCCCAACAGGGAAGAGCCCCTTCCCCAAGGCCCCTTACCCAGGGAGGGTACCAACTCCACCCTGGTGCCCAATGGGTCTCCTCCACCCCCCAAGAAACAACCAAGATATCACCCCAGGTCCTCCCTCTGGTCCCAGCACAGATGGGATCAAGGCAGTGTCCCCCAATGAGCAGAACAATCCTGTGGAGGACCCTATGCAGATTCTACCCCCACCCCATAGTTTGCTGTGCCCTGCTGGGGCTGGCCTACTGACATTTCAGTAACAGCCTGCTGGAGGATGTGAGCTTTGGGGCAGCCTTCTAGGAGTTCTGGCTGGTCTGATGTAGGCAGTGGCCAACCTTCCCCTTGGCTCACAGATGGTGAGATGTGGGGAAGGTGCATGTCCAGCTCTTTTGCCACAGTCAGCAGAGGGAGGTGGCCAGAGAGCAGCTCAAGAAGGAGGTGCTGGAGCTGAAGAGGCACCTGGCCACCAACCCAAACAACCCATCCCTCTGCAGAGAGTGTTGGGAGAAGCAGGAGGAGCTTTGCTCTCTGGACGACCATGACACCTGTGGCACATTCATCTGCTCGTGTGTCCAGCTCCTTCAGGAGATGGACTGTGGCTCCTGATTCTATGCCTTGGAGAAGGGGAGGGGTGCCAAGAAATACATCGCCTGCCTCTTGTTGGGTGATGGCACCCCCCTCATGAACCCAGGTGAGATGCGAGAAATGGTGAGAGTTTTCTATGGAGAGCTCTTCTCTCTGGATTTGACTAATGCTGATGCCTGCTGGGTCCTGTGGGAGGGACTGCCACAGGTCAGCACAGGCAACCAGGACCAGTTGAAAGTTCCTCTCACCGTGGCTGAGATCTCAGATGTCCACCAATGAAGCACCAGGCATCAACATGCTGACTGCAGTTCTACTGGGCCTTCTGGAGCATCCTCGGCTCAGATCTTGCTGTAGTCTGGGCTGAGTCCGAAGTGGGTGAGAAGCTCCCCCTGTCATGCAGGCGGGTCGTACTGACCATCCTGCCCAAGAAGGGGATCCCTGTGACCTGAGGAACTGGCGTTCCGTCTCCCTCCTCTGCACAGACTACAAGGTGGCAGTGAAGGCCATCTCACTGCACCTGAGGTCCGTGCTCGCAGACACAATCCACCCTGACCAGTTATATATGAGAAGGTCCATCTTTGATAACCTATACCTGGTCCTGGACCTCCTGGAGCTCATGTGCTGGGGGGGCCTGTCATTTGCCCTTGTGGCCCTCAGCCAGTAGAAGGCATTTGACAGGGTGGATCATGGGCACCTCACAGGCATGCTGAGGGTATTTGGCTTTGGTCCCGCTTCATGTGGTTTCTCTGGGTGCTGTATGCTTCCGCAGAGTGTATGGTCAAGCTCAACTGGACACTCATGGAGCCCATCCCATTCAGGCAGGGAGTAAATCAATGCTGCCCACTGTCAGGCCAGCTCTATGCTGTTGCTCTCAAGCCCTTTCTGTTCCTGTGCAAGTGGGAGACAGGGCTGGTGCTTGAGGAGCTGCCTATGAGTGTTGTCCTGTCAGCATATGCTGACAACATGCTCCTCACCACCTAGGACCCAGGCAACCTGGCAATGGCAACATGTAGGTGGTGCACAGGGGTGCACGTGCACCCCTGAGACTGTCGGTGAACCTCCTGACTGGCCGTGTTCACTGCTTAGGTGATAGGCAGGGGGAGCAGGCGGGAGCACTGGTGCCTCCCCTGCAAGCACCAGCCGATCGTTGCAGCTGCTCCTAGAAGCAGCCACAGCCACTCCAAAAAGTGGCTGCAGCGATCGGCCACAGCGATCAGCCATAGCGGGATTAGGCAGTGAGATCAACCATGGGGGGACTCCCCCCAGTCAGCAGGATCGGCTTGGTGCAGGTGGCCTAAGGCAGCACCAGTCACCCATGCGACCTGGTGCAGGTGGAGGCCTGCCAATCCATCTACTAGGTAGCTTCCTTTGTCCGTGTCAACTGGGTTAAGAGCTCTGGTCTGACAGTGGGTGATGGGAGGCAAGTGGGCTCAATCTGGCCAGTGTGCTCTCCTTGGCATCTCCTTCTGGATCCCTTGTTATTAAACTGTGACCTCACTCCCATTCCTGTTTTCTTTTTAGTTGCCCCAAGTAACCAATTGATGTGTCCCCTGTGGCATCCCTTTTTAAAACAGGCTTATAGTTTTTTGTGCTGTCCTGAAGCCCATGACCCCATGGCACATAAAATAGGCTTGTGTCACATAGTGGCAGAGAGCAGGTGCTGAAAAGCTATGACCAGGGATTTTTTTCCCCTACTGTTCCTTTCTCACTTGCAGCCTCCAGCATTTAAGGTCTAGGAAGTTCTAATTCAGAGGTTGCATCTCTAACTTCCATGCTCAATAGCTACTGATGCCCCTTTCCTCCAAGGATTTGTCCAATTCCTTTTTGAATCTGGCTAAACTGTGAGCTTCTGCAACATCTCGTGGCAATGAGTTTTGCACTTTGTGTCCTACATTTCCAGTGTAAATTTGTGGTTCTTCTTAGGGAATTCCAGACCAGTACATGTAATTAACTCTTCACACAACTAATAGTGCTTCATTTCCAGGGATCCTCTTCAAAAGTCTACAGCTTGTCTCTCACTTGTTGGCCTCTGTCATGTGGAGCAGTTATATTCAACCTCCTTGGTTTGTTCATGGGAATTGGGGATTGAGAGGTCCCATGTCTCAAGTTTCTTGAATAGTAGAGTGGAAGAGTGTGCCTCAATCATTGCAAGATTCTTTCTGACTGAAGGGCTTTCATAAATCATTTGTGTAGCACTGATGGAGGCTGATAAGATATTTTAGAGCCTCAAAATGCTGAGCATAAAATAGGGGTGCATATAGCTGAGTTCCTCAATGTGTCAGAACAGGCTCTGGTGACAGGGCACGTCAGGCAGAACTTTGTAATGCTGCACCTTCACCCATTGGCAATGTGTAGGGGGTGCATGCAGTTGCACGTGCACCCCCTGAGATCAGCTGTGCACCCCCTGGAAGCACCAGCCGCAAAACCGGAAGTGCACTTCCAGTTTCATCACTAGCTCAGCAATCAGCTGCTGGGGAACACCCCCCCGCCAGTCAGCAATTGGCCACTGAGGAACAACCTCCCTGTCGGCAATCTGGTGCCCTGCCCAGACTCAGGAGGCACCAGTCGCCCGTGACTTGAGGTGCAGACAAAAGCGACAATTTTTGCCTGATCTGGTCACAGAAAGCAATCTATAGCGTGACCATACACAAATGCATGGCTGCAGACTGGTTCAAAAATGGCCAATTGGGTGAAAAACTGAACCCTCACTGCATGAGAGGTCA